CACTGTCTTTTATTTTTCTGGATTAATATTAGTTTAGAATTAGCCTGTTCAGTTAACTCGACATATGCCCAAGAAAATCCAAATGTAATTAATTGCTTCTAATAAATTTTCAAATGTTAAACGATGAAATGAAATTTGTAAGCGTTCCAAATGTGAATGTAATTGATTGTTGAGTGTCGTCAATGATGTATTAAGTTTATATTCAATAGTACTGCCCACATAGGCAATATCTGAAAAACGAGTTTTTATACAATCATCGGATGTTTTGGATTTCATGGTTTTTCTTACGGTTTGTTTTCACTATGTATGGCTTAAATAGTTTAAAGATTTTCGTTTCTTTAAGAGTCCCATAGCATTAAGCCCGCAGTAACCTATAATCAGTTTTACTGGCACATGAAAGGGAGACGTCAGTGGGGTTTAATGATTTTTATAAATATTTCAATTGTTAAGTGAATATTTTGATTTAAACCAGACTACTGTAGAAAATATAAATTGTATATTTAGATTTATTAACAATGTTCAAAGTTATCTGTTTTGTTTTCATTATCTTCCTTGCAACACTACTGCATAAACGAGCCGAGTCAAAACAATAGGCGTATTATCTTTTGCATAAAGTTGTCGAGACAAAAATAAACGAAAAAGTCACTGTATAACCATGTTTTCATCCATACGTCATATCATGTGAAACTTTAGATCACAGTGTCCAAAAATTCTAGAACAGTACAGTCTGTAATAGTCACGTTTTCACCCATACATCAGTTGATGTATGAATGAAAACGTGATTATACAGTGACTTTCTCGTTTAGTTTTGTCTCGATAACTTTATGTAAAAGATAATACGCCGATTTTTTAAACTCTGCTGAGTTAAACTACACAGTTCAATGAATGTCGAATAAATGACAGTTTTAATTATCGTCGGTCGATAGTATTGACCTATCGTTGGTTATTCAGAAAAAATGCGATATGGAAATCAAAACACCGTTGCGTAAGCGAGAGCGAGTTTAAAAAATCGGCGTATTATCTTTTACATAAAGTTGTTGAGACAAAAATAAACGAGAAAGTCACTGTATAATCACGTTTTCATTCATACATCAGCTGATGTATGGGTGAAAACGTGACTATTACAGACTGTACTATTCTAGAATTTTTGGACACTATGATCTAAAGTTTCACATGATATGATGTATGGATGAAAACATGGTTATACAGTGACTTTTTCGTTTATTTTTGTCTCGACAACTTTATGCAAAAGATAATGCGCCGATTTTTTAAACTCGCTCTAGCTTATGCAACAGTATTTTGATTTTCATGTCGCATTTTTTCTCAGTAAGCAACAGTAAGTCAATACTATCGACCGACAATAGTTGAAAAACCGTTCGGTGTACTGCCTTTTTCATCATCCTTTGTTTTGTATTGCTGCGTGTGTATAAAATATAGTGCAGTCCGACGTTTTTTAACAACGTTTGAACGGAAAGAGCTAGCGACCTGCAGTTTTCATTTTCGTAAAGTAGACATCGAGGGACATCGAGCTATCAATGAATTAGGTTTTCCGAACAGGTTTACTATGATCCACTTTTCGAGTTAAGAAGTCTGGGCTTGCCATTCCAAAAATGTATATAGTTAGATTCGAACCACCAAACTTTCAAAAACCAAGTTTTTCAATTTTAGAAACCTTATAACCCGGTAAAGAAAGATCTAAAAGAAAATTTGCAACCCACATTCTGGTAGAATTAGAGCTCTCATTCTACTAAAGTCTTAGTAATAGTAAGTGTTGCATAGGTCGAGTTCTGTCAATTCTAGCAAGTTCCATGGAATTGTGGAACTTGACACTGCTGTTTTTCCCATATCGAAATAGAATACATAATTTTTTTACTAAAATGTTCTCCCTTTAAAAATATTTCGAATCTGTCATTCTATTCAAAATTGTGCAATCCACATGTTCGACAAAAATTCGACTTCCGTCAGCGCAAAACTTCGAATTTTAACTTAAACTCGCAAAAAAAGTGAAATAGCTGAACTCAGAAAAGAGCTAAAAGTTTTAAACACACGATGCGATAGAGCTAAAAAGAAAAGAGCTTTTCTGAAAATCCCTTAGCCGTAACTCTCTTTTAAAAGTTTGAGAAACCACTAGTTTTGTTCAGCTTTTTAAACTCTATCGATCACAGTAGCTGAAATTCGATAACGTGGTTTTGAAAGGCTAAAAGGCGAATTTAAATACAAAATGTTGCATGGGGTTACTGGAAAACTCGTAGAAAACCCAGTTTACTGAGTATTGTAGCTTTGCTATAGCCTTACGTTTGTTTAGTGTTTTGAGCTCTATCGAATGCCGTGCTTAAAACTATTCTAGCTCTTTTCTAAGCTCAGCCATTCCACCTTTTTTGGAAATTTAAGTTGAAATTCGAACTTTTGCGCTGTCGGAAGTCGAATTTTTTCCCAAAACGTGGGCCGAAGAATTTGAATAGAATAACCGATTCGACATATTTTTAAAGACAAGATGTTCATAAAAGAAGTATTTACTCTATTTCGTGTGGCAAAAACCACGGTTCAAATTAAGTGCAAGTGGTGAAATGGTGGCTTCTCTTCCAGCTCCCCCATCAGAGGTGCCGTTTCAGCAGTGAAGTGAAATGACGTGAAGTGGTGCTTTCCGCCCCTCCCCCTGTAGTCCAGCTTATTGAATTGAATCTTTGAGTGATATTCCCAACGAGCAAAACAAACTTTGTTTACTAAAACCGTAGTAGAGAAATAAGTAATATTATGTAAGAAATAAGTCAGGCAGTCGAATGACTCTTTGTTACAGTATATAATAATAAGCAATTTCTAGTATTTGAAAATATTCGATTTCCTCATTCGTACGTTCTGTCATTTTAGTACCTCGCATAATACTAAATGTTAAAAATATTTTGATAAAAAGAGTACGTATTCGTTTTTAATAAGCAAAATTAACGTTTCACAAAAATTGTTGTTGTAATCGAAAAATTTATAGTCTATCACTTTCAAACGTTGATTTAACATTCTGTTTTATCGTTGTGTTTTTTAGATAGTTTTGTAGGTGTACAGCAAACATTTGACTATATAGCTATTTTGTTAAAAAAGATACATTTTTGTTCTTTGCTTTTATTTCTTTTAGCGACGAACTGCAGTATATAATCGTGATATTTATGTGGAAAAAAAAGAGAACAGAAAGAAAATGAAACAACGAATAGCTGTTTCTTAAAAAAGTGAAGATAAAAGAATAAAAAAGATCTAGAACGCTTTTGTATCACGTCATTTTGTTCTCCTTTTTCTTCTTTATATCCAGCTTTACTCTTTTTGAATACAGGATGGAATACTTTTCTATTTCATTACTTTAGGTAATTTAAAATAAAACGCAGAATCATTACAGATATTTTACTTTCTACTACCAAACAAAAGAATTTAATCTGTATTTCTAATTTATTCTTTTATTGTTGTTGTAAGATGTCAAGCGTATATTACAAATAATCTGCTTCGGAGAGAGAATTATTTCTGTTTTAATATAACGATGGCTGATAATTATCAATGTCATCAACCATATTCAAATGACATAGTTTCTGAAATCAAAGACGATGTAACGAATGATCGACAAGATACATCAAATACGAATATATACACAAAGAAGAAAATAGAATTAATGTGTGTGGTGTGTGGTGCTCCAGCGATCGGTTATAATTTTGATCAAATTACATGTGAATCTTGTAAAGCATTTTTTCGACGAAATGCATTGAAATCATTGGTATGTCATTGTCATTTCGTTTTCTTTTTGTTCATTTTTGTACGCATGTGTAATTAGAGAGTAGAGAGAAGTCACAACGAAACAAAACGGAACATATTCAATTCTGCAGCATCCGCTTTAGAAGATTTGGCTACCACTAAAAAGTTTACGTCTTTAAGGTTTCGAAAAGTGCCTTCGGAAAAACAGGATTTATTATAAAACGCTCAATTCACCAAAATTTGGGAAACTGCATCGTTTTCTAGCTATACATTGGCACAAAATCGCGCCAAAATGGGAAAAGTGATTTGAATCAAGAGATACTTTGCTGACCGTCGATTCATATAATGAGCTCTTCAGAAAAAAAATTTGAACCGATTCTGTTCTCTATATAAAAAGTCGATTTTGTGCTAATGTGAATAATAATGAATTTATCATTAGTATTTATTTTCATTTAGGGGACTTTTAAATGTCGTTGCTGCACTGGTGTTAGTGATGTTAACATACTTAATAGAAAACGTTGTAAAGCTTGTAGACTGCAAAAATGTTTTGCAAAAGGTAAATCTGAACACAAACTTCAAACGTGAATTAAAAACTGTAACATCAAAGGGCGGTAACATCAGAATTTTTAAACTTCTGAATGGATTTTAGGCATGCGAAAAGAATGGATATTGTCCGATGAACAAAAACGTTCGAAAAAGCAAAAAATGAAAGAAAATCGTCGTGTTCGACAGTTAAACAATTGTCTCACTGAGTTTGAGGTACAGGTAACAGCAAATAAAACGAGTTAAATTAAGGATTTCTGTTAATGGCGTATAACATGAAAAACATACCTCGGAAACTGCTGAACCGATTTTGATAAGACTTGTTACTTCAGCGTTTGATTGGTGTCAAGTTCCATAATTTCGTGGAAATTGTAGAGTGCAAAATTGTGCAACCCACATAATTTTTTTACTAAAATCTTCTCTCTTTAAAAAGATTTCGAATCTGTCATTCTATTCAAAATTGTGCAACCCACATTTTGGACAAAAATTCGACTTCCGTCAGCGCAAAACTTCGAATTTTAACTTAAACTTGTAAAAAAAGTGAAATAGCTGAACTCAGAAAAGAGCTAAAAGTTTTAAACACACGATGCGATAGAGCTAAAAAGAAAAGAGTGTTTCTGAAAATCCCTTAGCTGTAACTCTCTTTTAAAAGTTTGAGAAACCACTAGTTTTGTTCAGCTTTTTAAACTCTATCGATCACAATAGCTGAAATTCGATAACGTTGTTTTGAAAGGCTAAAAGGCGAATTTAAATACAAAATGTTGCATGGGGTTACTGGAAAACTCGTAGAAAACCCAGTTTACTGAGTATTGTAGCTTTGCTAAAGCCTTACGTTTGTTTAGTGTTTTGAGCTCTATCGAATGCCGTGCTTAAAACTATTCTAGCTCTTTTCTAAGCTCAGCCATTTCACCTTTTTTTGAAATTTAAGTAGAAATTCGAACTTTTGCGCTGTCGGAAGTCGAATTTTTTCCCAAAACGTGGGCTGAAGAATTTGAATAGAATGACCGATTCGACATATTTTTAAAGACAAGATGTTCGTAAAAGAAGTATTTACTCTATTTCGGTGTGGCAAAAACCATGGTTTTCTGAAATATTCCAAAATTCATTTGGAATATTTCTGAGTTAGCCATTTGGATGAGTATAGTTTCAAATGCTGAAGTAATACGTTTCATCAACATCGGTTCCTCGAGTCAGGCATAAACAAAAACTTTCTCGTGTTATACGCCTACTTGTTTTGCCTGTTCTAAAGGAAAAAAGATTGTCAGGTGTTTCATCTATTGACTAAAAGACTATATTCATGGTTTGTTCTAGAAAACTTTCGATTTAGTGATAGAAA